TAAAAAGGTTTGGGGACTTAAAACATTAAGCTGTTAAAAAATTCTGAGTAGAGGCAATGTAGATCACTCCTTTTTTTGTTTGTTTGTTTTTTTGTTTGTTTGTTTGTTTTCTTAATTTTATTTTGTCGATATACAATGAGGTTGATTATTGTGGCCCATTACCGAAACCCCCTCCCTCCTCCCTCCCACCCAGCAATGTCCTTTCTGTTTTCTTGTCGTAACAACTTCAAGTAATTGTAGTTGTTATATCTTCTCCCCCACACCCCCCGGTTATTTTGTGTGTGTGTGTGTGTGTGTGTGTGTGTGTGTGGATTTTTTTTTTAATTTTATTTTGTCAATATACAATGTGGTTGATTATTGTGGCCCATTACCAAAACCTCCCTCCCACCTCCCTCTCCCCCTCCCCCCCAACAATGTCCTTTCCTTTTGCTTGTCATATCAACTTCAAGGAATTGTAGTTGTTATATCTTCTCCCCCACACCCCCCGGTTATTTTTTTTTTGTGTGTGTGTGAGTTTATTTATTTATTTTTAGCTCCCACCAATAAGTGAGAACATGTGGTATTTCTCTTTCTGTGCCTGACTTGTTTCACTTAATATAATTCTCTCAAGGTCCATCCATGTTGTTGCAAATGGCAGTATTTCATTCATTTTTATAGCCGAGTAGTATTCCATTGTGTAGATATACCACATTTTCTTTATCCCCTCGTCCGATGATGGACATTTGGGCTGGTTCCAACTCTTGGCTATTGTAAAGAGTGCTGCGATGAACATTGGGAACAGGTATATGCTGGCGGCAGCGGCAGCAGCAGCACCGGCAGCAACGGCGCCCTCGATGCTCTGTTCTGTTATTTTATATCTGTCATTTTATATCCTCTCCTCAGATAAAGCCATTCATGCTGTCATAAATATATTTCTGGCCTTGGCCTCTCCTCTGAGGAACAGACCATCATTTCCATCTCCTGGATGTCACAATGTCCTTCTAAATGAAACTGAGGAATGTTCTTTTTCCAGTGCTGCAAGCTTGGCCCTTCATCCTTGATCTTTGTCCTCTGTTTGTTACCTTTGTGAATGATGCCTATGATATTCTTGTTATCCAACCAAACATTGGAATCTTCTTTAATACACTGCTCACTTTTACCCCACACATCCAAACCATCAGTAAGTTGTGTTTTTAACTTTCTAAATATCTTTTAAGTCAATTGGCTTCTCTCCATTTCTTTTTTTTTTTTTCCTTTTTTGTCTTTTTTCGTGACCAGCAACAGATCGCAACCCTCAGTGTCGCGCCCGTACTGGACCGGGACCGGCAAAGAGATTGCAACCCTCGGTGTTGCGCCCGCACCTCGCTCAGCCAGTAAGAGGCCGGTCTGTATGTGGGATCCGAACCCTAGGCGGGAGCACCACCGCGCTCCCAAGCAGCGCACTGTAGCAGTGCGCCACCGGGCCGGCCCCGGCTTCTCTCCATTTCATTTAGCACCATCCTTGTCCCAATTATTATATCTTTAGTCCAAACTAATGGAGAAAATCTCCCAAGTGATTTTCTTGCATTTACTCTTGCTTTTATTTTTCAGGCCTTTTCTCTACTCTGCAGACAAAAGAATCTCGAAATTCATCTCTGAACATTTCTGCCTGACACCTTATCCATGTCCCTTTACCCCCACCTCATCGGATTCTTCCCATGGTTCTGAGTAACCTAAGACTTGCCTACCTTTCATTCCCATCTAGTGCCACCCCCTCCCCCCCATGCTCTGACTCAGGGGACCAGCATGGAGCTTCCCCCATCTGCACCCTCACCTGTTTCCCCACAGGGGGTTTGCACATGCTGTTCTCCTTGCACATGTAGTTCCTGTCCTTCAGCCTACCCTCAACTTCCACACTCCCTCATCCTAGCTTAAAATCCTAAACGCACAGTCTCATCTTCAGTATCTTGCCCTTCAGAATCTTGCCCTATCCTCCAGGATTGGTCCTACCTTACTACCTCCCTCCATCCCAAAGCTGTTGGGGTTTCACGTTGAAGGACCATGTTTGATTTAGCTCATCATTAAATCCACCAGTAAAATGCCTGACATATACAACATGCTCACTTTTAAGTGAATGAATAAATATACAAGAATGTACAGATTGACAGAGTCCAAATCAGAATTTAAAGTCTAATGCTTTCATTGGCTTTACTGTTGGATGAATGACTTGACTTGGAATTGTACATAGTAGGAATGTAATTGGGGCCTAGGGTGGGAAACCCAAGCTTGGAATTCCAAATGTGTATTCAAGGGTGATTTTTTTTGTCTGTGTGCACATCTCTATTTGTAAGTTGCATACCAACCTGAATTATATTTTATAAATATGTAAATAGACTTATATAGTTATTCCTGGACTATTTTTCTCTTTTACTGAATTTCTTCTGATAATTTGTTCACTGTCGTCCTACATTTCCTTTCTTTTCTACCCTGTCATTGTTTTTCAGGTCATTATCTTGCTACTTATTTACTATTTACTTCTCTCTCCCTCAATATAGCAAGTTCTTTACCACTTTAGATGTCCAGATCCTCTGAAAAAATTATTATAGAAGTTTCTATCTTGTACATATATCATGGGAATTAGAAATTTCATTGTCCTAGTTGTTTAAACATTTATGTTCCCCTCTTCTACCGAGAGTTCCTGAGGGCAAGACCTTGCAGCTGCCATTCAGGGGGATGAGCTCAGTGTCTGCAGTAGAGGGGACATTAGCTGTTGAATAAATGCATATTTCACAGTAAAACTATATATTATATCAAATATAATTTAAACTTTACTTGATGGTACAAAAGATACTTAAAAACCTAATTATCAGTTTTCATTGCATTCTAGAAATTCAGAAAAGCCAAGTCAG